GAAAGGTAACACTTCACTTTTTATTAGGATTTTTTATAATTATTTTCTTTTTATGAAACTCTATTGCACGCCTCCCCAAAATATTTCCTTGAATCCCAAGGTAAGGGAACAACATCTTCTTTTCCTCTATTTTCTTTTCTTCTCACATTCTTATTTCTACTTTTACATATAAAAAAAAAGGATGGTTGAGATTTAACATTTTATGAAACTATTATTAGAATATTTTATAAATTAATATTTTCTATTTTTCATATAATGTGCATGTAAAATTTTAACAGTTCAATTTATAAATTTAGACTAAAATATATTTTAGCCCTTTAATTTTATACAAGGTCTTCAGTTTGGTGCATAAACTCTAAATAGTATAGTTTTAATCATTTAATCATAAAACCAATCAATCATCAATTATATTCTTAAAAACTTGTAATACCCGGTTCATTTAGAAATGGGTAATGTATAACATTGTGACATTCGAATATATTTAATTGATGAGATTTGAATAATATTTTGATTGGGATTTGGATATATTAAATTAAACAAGAAGCATCATTATTAAATGGGATTTCAATTGGAGGCTAAAATGAAGAAATTAATAATTAATTTTAAATTCGAATGATATCTTAATTGGGATTTGAATATATTGAATTAAATAGAAAGCATTATAATTAAATAGTACGTCGATTTAGGGCTTAAGTGAAGAAATAAATAAATAATTTTAAATTTTCATATCGTCATCCTAATTTCTGAATCTCTAATTCAAATCTCATTTGAATGAATAAAAACAAAATCACACTTCTATAAGAAGTTCGTATAATCTTGAGCTAACTTAAATAATACAATTTATTATAATTTAAAATTTAATCAAATATTTTAGTTCATGCATCGCATGGAAAAGAAATTTTTAGTTGACAACAAAAATAATGATATTGAGATCTTAAATGTTGATAAATATTCTTAAATGCTAATATATTAAATTTAATTTTCAAAGCAACCATGATGGTTATGAAAAATTATCATTTAAGACTAATTATTTTAGAGTTAAGAGACTAAAAACTATAGTTTTTAAAGTTTAAGAACTAAACTAAAACCTAGTATAAAGTTAAAGTATTAGACGCATGTGTAAGTCATAAATTTATGTTTATAATAATGATTTTATAAAATTTAAAATCTAAACCATACTTTTTCTTATAAAGAGTAATTAATATTTTTAGAAGAAAATTAAAGGAGAAAAAGGGAAGGAGATATCAACCAAAGCACACCTCAACTGTGCTTAGATGTATGGATGCATCTGGGTAGGGTTGGGTTAGGCAAAATCCTTGCCTAATGTCTAGCCCAAAAGATGAATGGACTACAATTTGAGTGAAGTTGGGCAATGTGATTTTTTTGGCCTAAGTGATGACACCTTATTTGTATTATATGAAAGTCTGCATCAAACCTAATAAATAATATTTTGGATTTTAAATATACTTAATAATTTCATAGCTTAAAATATTTCAAGAGAAGAAATATAAACACTATACTATAAATCTAGATATCTATTTTTTTACTAGAAAATTCACATGTCTATGCGTCTATCTATCATTTCATATCTTGTTATAGTTACATAATCAAACACACTAATCATATGTAAAATGAATATATGTACATTATATATATTGAATAGAATTATATATATATATAAACTTTGGGTATGGTCAGATAGGTACAGCAGCATACCTTGCTTGCTATGCGGCCCAAAAATGGCTAATTAGTTTTCAGGCTGCATTTTTAGAGATGGGTTGGACATAATTTCAATAGGCTTAAGTGAGCAATGTGGGCTTTTGAGTCTCATAAATACCCTTACTTAGAGGTGAGGTTTCTATGAAATTAGGTATTTAAAAAAAGGAAAAATGACCACAAAATACCATATGAATTTCAAAAAGACAAAGAAGGCATCCAAATAAGCAAAATGACAGAGAAGGCATTAGGTACCAATATGGAATTTTGATTATTGTCCTAAAGACAGAATTGCCCTTGTTATGTTTGAAAATTGAGGAGATGGAGAAAGGTAGAAACCGCCTCCTCCCGGTAAAAGCAATCCCCCTACTCGGCGAAAGAGAAACTGCCCCCACTTGGCTAAACTAATCCATACACTTGATGAAACTAATCCCTCCACTTAGCGAAACCAAATCCCGCTACTCAGCAAAACCAATCCCTCCAATCAACGAAATCGAATCCCCCCACTTAGTGAAACTAAATCCAAGCCCCTCTAGTCACCGAAAAAGGTTCTTCGATTTGCAAGGGGATTTGTATGTAAGGGGATTTGCAAATTGTTTTCAGGAAATGTAAAGCTGTCTGATTTTCAACTATTGTTAAATCATTTGCCCAAAATGTTACTACATGTATAACGAGATTTATAACTCGGGAAGTGAATTTGACCACTTCTTCAAAGCGTTTGACAACCTGCTTTAAGGGGCAGGGAAACTTTTCTCTACAAAAATATAATACCATGCCGAATTTGACAAAACACATAGTGGGATTTACAATTTTCACAGTAAGTGTTACTACATTTTCAATAGGATTTGTAACCTTTTGTAAGGGGTTGGCCAACATTTCTGTCAAAAACAAAACAATTCCATGCTGAATTTTACAAAATACATAGTGGGAATAACAACTTTCACATTGAGATTTACTACTTCTTTAATGGGTTTTGCAACCTTTTGTGAGGGGGTAGGCAACTTTTCTGTTAAAAACAAAACAATTCCACGTTGAATTTTACAAAACACAGTGGGAATAACAACTTTCACAGTGATATTTACTACTTTTTCAATTGCAACCTTTTATGAGAGGCTGGGCAATGTTTCTGTCAAAAACAAAACAATTTCACACTGAATTTTACAAAACACATATTGGGAATTATAACTTTCACAGTGAGATTTACCAGTTCTTCAATGGGTTTTGCAACCTTTTGTGAGGGGCTGGGTAACTTTTCCATAAAAAAATAATACAATTTCACGTTGAATTTTACAAAACATGTAGTGGTATTTACAACTGTCATAGTGAGAGTTACTAGTTTGTGTAATGAAATGCACCATTCACGAAACAGTATTTTCCAAAAATCAGCAGCCATATAATAGCAGATAATTACATATATTTAAATGACTGCACGTGAACTACATCAAAATAAACATTGAACCATTAACTTTCATACTAACTACATGTGTAATAGAATGTACCATTCACGTAACAGTATTTACCAAAAACCAGTAGCCATATGACAGTAAATACATTACATATATTCAAATGACTGCACTCTACTCCTGCAACGATTACCAATTTCACTGATAGCACTTTACTCCTGCAACAACAGTAATGTGATGTCGGGGAACCTTTTTCGGTGACTGGAGGAGCTTGGATTTAGTTTCGCCGAGTGGGAGGATTGGTTTCTCCGAGTGGGGGGATTCGGTTTCACTAGCTGAGTGGAGGGATTGGTTTCGCTGAGTAGGGGAATTCGGTTTTGTCAAGTGGGGGGATTTGGTTTTGCCAAGTGGGGGGATTGCTTTGCCGAGTGGGGGGATTGCTTTCACCGGGAGGAGGCGTTTTTTACCTTTCTCCATCTCCTCAGTTTTCAAACAAAATTCCATATTGGTACCTCATGCCTTCTTTGTCATTTTGCTTATTTGGATGCCTTCTTTGTCTTTTTAAAATTCATATGGTATTTTGTAGTCATTTTCCCTTAAAAAAAAAATCTCTAATATGATGAGATCACCCGAACCTTGATTGAGATATTATTTATTTTAATATCTCGAACAACATTGCCTAAATGGCATATCATTAATTCTGTACTTTAGTGGGAGATATAACAATGTATATGCGTTTTTTTATTTCCCTAATTCCCTTACCTCTATTAAATTTTTCTAGAGGATAATCCCAAAATCAACTCAAAATATAGATTTGATTTTGTTTTAAACTCCCATTTTATAAGTTATAATCACATAATATTCAGTAAAAGAATCTCAAGTATGATCGGATATTTGAGCCCCTAATTTTATCTCTTTTTAAATTTATTTTTTTCATTTTCATTGTAATTTAAAGTACTCGGCGGATAAAATATTATCCACTATTAATCGTATTAAATTATAGATAAAACATAGATCAATAATAAATTATAATAAATATAAGATAGGAGGGGAATGACCTTCGAGAAAACTTCAATTTGATTGGAAATTTACACTCGTTCTAAACTAAAGGTGAATTCAGGGGAAAAAAATCCGTACCAATAAATACAAAAGAAATTTTTAAAAAAAATTTGATACACAATAATTTTTCCAATATAATTTTGTATACCCTAATTTTAACACAATTTGTTTTTGAGATGGATTCTTCATATGTAGATTAGATTTAGCCCTCTTGTAGGACTTAGTTAGACAGTTAATGTTGGTTCTAAATATAAGACCTATTTTATATAATTATTAACTTTTTTTAAAATTAACCTTATTGATACTAAGCAACAAGCAAGGAGGAGAGGGAAGAAAAGAATTGAAAAGATGTTTAGGGTACTTAGAAAAAAAATTCATGTTAACTAATTCAACTAATATCCTTGATCTACTTAATTTAGTTAATTAGGTCTCATAGTAAGAATAGAAGGAGTATCTCTTAAAATAATTATAATATTTGAGCTTTGAGAAAGTGTGGGAAGGATTACAGAACCGATTGTGTAACCTTCAGAGTTTAGCGGCTCTCCCTCTGAAATTCTTCTCTCTTCCAACAGTGTTACTTGTGGGAAAAAAAAATCTTATTTTAATATACAAGATTTGATATCTGAATTGAATTGAATGAATATAATGAAAGATTTTGGGCTTTTTAATAAAGCAATTGCACAAAATATATATATATAATTTTAGTTCCCAACATTGCAAGGGCGATGACAAAAGCGTGTGTGTGTGTATCTTCTAATCCCAAACCCTGACGGTCCTTGTTGGTTGCAGGGCTTTCCTGATTCTTTATATCGATCAAGCACCATGGTGGAACAGATAGTAATGCAGAAAGAAACATCATATCTTCCCCCAGAAATTATCACAAATATTCTTGTGCGACTTACAGTAAGATACCTAATCCAATTTCAATGTGTGTGCAAAGATTGGAAGAATCTCTTGAAAACCCCATCTTTCATTGAAAAGCACCTCGACCATTCCACTCAGCAAAACCCTTTGCTTGCTTTCAATTGCTCTATCTATGAGTCTGATGATAATGCTTGTCACTTAAGTTTGAACAATCGCGATGAGACGGAAGTCCTGGAATTTCAGAACCCACCCATTGTTCATCTCTTAAAGGCATCCTTGATGCTTGTCCATTCCAGCAATGGCTTGCTTTGTCTCGATCTCCAGACTATTAAATTCCATTCCTCTTGGTTGTGGAATCCATCTTATTCGTTTTGGTTGTGGAATCCAGCTATTAGAGAGGTCCAACAGGTGCCCCAATCTCTCGATAAGTATAAGATTGATACTATTTCCGTAGGATTTGGGTTCAGCCCCATTGTTAATGATTATAAGATTGTGAAACTTTTTCTGCTCGGTGCTTTGGTTGCTGAAGTGGAAGTATATGCATTAAGGAGAGGGTGTTGGAGAAAAGTTAAATTTGGGAATTTAGAGGGTATAAGGCTTGTGAGTGAGAGTGGTTTCGCTTGGAATGGATCAATCTTTTGGATTGGGTTAGAGAAAGAAAGTCATCTGGGTTTGATAGTTTCATTTGATATAGCATTAGAAGTTTTCACATTGCTGCCCTTCCTTACTGAGTCTCATGCCCTTAAATTATATGACATTATGTTTACTACGTATGATAACAAACTTGCTCTGCTTTCTCCCACTAGAAATCATGAATCATCTTTTATTGATTTGTGGGTGATGGAGGAGTGTACAAATGAGTCCAAGGAGAGATGGGTTTGGACTAAAATATATAGAAGCAGACCCTGTCCACGCTGGAGGTTATATCCAATGATTATTTGGAGAAATGAAATTGTTTGTACAGTCATTGCAAAGCATCAAAGGGGAATTGAAGATGAAATGGAGGATGATGAAGCAAAAGTTCTTTTCTGCAATCTCACTACTAATGAATTCAACGTGTTTGCTTTCCCGGCAAAATGTAAGTTTACTGGTCAGGTTTTGAATTACGTGGAAAGTCTTGTCCCAGTAAGGAGCATCCAAATTGAAGAGCCTTGATATGTTTCCTTAATTAATTATATTTCTTATTTACTTTATTCAAATATTTTTTATGAAACTATATACCCTTCTATATAACATTGGATAATTTGTTCATCTAGAATGATGAGTGCAAACCAAATGTTTCTTCCATTATATTTATAATTTTAGATTATTCACTTTTCCTTTGGTTACTGGTGTGCGGATTACTCTGGACTTTTTTTACATGCGAAGATGTATATGCCACTTGTTTTACATTTAGGAGTTTTACATTTAAGATCATTGATCCTAAATGTTAATCGTTACATGGAAGATTTATCTTATATTAACTTTTGGTTGAAATGAACCCATGTATATTGGTTTATATCATTTTATACCTATTGGCTTGATGTCTCATAAAGACGTTATCGAGATGAGATTGATGTGTGGATCATGGTAATTAAACTACCAATAGTTTTAAGAAACCAGAATAATTGGTTGCTATTGTGACGAAGTTCGATCTTTTTTTTTTTTTTTACTCTAATTATACTTTAGAAGAAAAATTAATCTTTTAACTAGTCTACTCAATTATGATTCGGTTTGACTTGCTTGTTACTCAGTCGCTTATCTTTTCATTTTTTATATTATTATCCTTATCATCTATAACTCACTTTTATGTCACAAAGGATTCATCATTCATGCTTGAAGAGACGCAAAGAATTGAAAGGTAAAAAGTGTGTTCTTGACGGCAAAGAGGCGCAAGGATTAGGAGGTTTTTTTTTTTTTTTTTTTCAAATGACAACGTGACATTTTAATCCTTATATAAAAATGATATAATTATTATAAAATAATTATATTAGACAGGATATCATAGAAGATGCTAAATATGATACGAAGTGTCTTATGTTGATATGACGCGTTCTAATTATAACACTCCTTTTGTACGTTATGATAATATATCTGTTATGACTTGTGACAATGGTATGGGATCAAAGAATTTTTTTTTAAAAAAAAAAACAGGATTAAATATGATAATATAGTGAATTCGTATCTGGGCTTATCTTCGACAGATAAATTTTTAAAAATAGAGGTTCATTGTTGGATGGAACGTTGGTTCAATTCTTGCAGATACTCTGAATTGCCAAATAATTTATGTTTAACCCCCATTTATATTATTTTTTAAAAAATATGAAACATCTATTAATCTATTAATATATAAAAGTAGAGTACAAGACATGAGTATCTAATAGCGCAACACGTGGCATCACCAAAGATCAGATAAATGTTCTTTTCTTTTTTTTAAAAAAAAAAAGGCCACATTTTTTTTACCCATGTTTCTACCTACGTTTTCACCAATTGTTTATTATTTGAGAGAATTTTCCAGTCAACATGTCATGATTTTTTCTGGGATATGAATGATTATTCAAATTATTTTATATTATCTAAAGACACTTTGAAATATGAAACATCTATTAATCTATTAATATATAAAAGTAGAGTACAAGACATGAGTATCTAATAGCGCAACACATGGCATCACCAAAGATCAGATAAATGTTCTTTTCTTTTTTTTAAAAAAAAAAGGCCACATTTTTTTTACCCATGTTTCTACCTACGTTTTCACCAATTGTTTATTATTTGAGAGAATTTTCCGGTCAACATGTCATGATTTTTTCTGGGATATGAATGATTATTCAAATTATTTTATATTATCTAAAGACACTTTGAAAGTTTGAATTTGAAATTTAAAACACGGTTATGCCACTTAAAATTTAAATTGGCCACTTAATAATTAAATTGATTTATAAATGAATAAATTATAGGAAGAAGTATATTCCCAAAATATGGAAACGTGTGGCAATTTTTAATTATATATTTATAGGATAGTTAGTTTAGTTTAAACATTTTTTATGATATGAACGAGTATTCGAATTATCTTATATTATCTCAAGACACTTTGAAAGTTTGTATTTGGAATGTAAAGTGACTTAAAATTTAAATTGGCCACTTAATTATTAAATTGATTTATAAATGGATAAATTATAGGAAGAAGTATATTCACAAAATCTAGAAAACATAGGCAATTTTTTCATATAATTGTATCTTGCATGACTTGCTAACAGACTGCTACTTGGCTTCACCAAAATTAGATACATGGGTTTTTTCTTTTTTTTTTTTAAAGTCAAAATTTTATGTCCAATTCCCTATTTATGTATTATTTACCACCATAATGTATGTTCCTCCTTTTTCCCACTACCTATTTCTTTTTGTAGTAGAATCAGTTAGTTATCTCTCATAATGCAGTATTTTTTATTTAATGGTTTTAGTTGAATTCTTGGGATGTATTGTTTATTTATATTTTAGTTGAATTGTTTGCAGATAAATTTTTTATTTTTTATTTTCGTTAAAGCTATATTTCTACCCATGATCTATCTATTTATGCGTTTTTCTTGGGAATTAGTTCGATCGTATTTATTTGAGTGCATGTTTCATGTCTTTCTATTTATTTTTGCAAAATAATAATTTTTGTTAATGGTAGATAAATCTACTTTTTTTGTATAATTTTTTGATTAATTCAATTAATTCCGATTTATTACAAAATTTATTGCAATTATCTCCAATAATGAGCTTTATTTTTTCTATTTTTTGTAAAAACCAAAATACGCTTTATATGCAAATATTTTAAATTAAGAAAAATAAATAAAATTATATAACTTCTCTTATCCCGAAAATCGTGACATAAATGCAAGCCATGATATATGTTCAAATTGTGAAATTTGATGGTATTATTTAAAATTAATTATGCTTGAAATTTAATTTCAGTTGGTCCATTAGTATATTGAAAATAATATCCTACGCCCTAAATCTAAACTATTATTTATACCTGAAATATTTATTATTTTTTATTTATGAATTATTTTGAAATCTAATTCAACATATTTTAACTCAGTAACGGTTTTGTTTCCATTAATTTTTCTTGTATTAAATAGCGTACTTTTATAATACAGAATCAGATATCATATTTGTCCAATATAATATTATTGACCATGATATTATTTGTGTAATTATTGAATATAATCAAATATTTGGGTTTCAATCCATTAACCCTTTTGTCTCCATTAATTCAATTTTTTTAACGGAACATCCATTTATATACCTACATATATAGCATATTTCTAAAAATGTTGATAATGGATATGTACTGCAGATTTCAAAAGCTTAATGATATTTTATTTTAAATTAAGTTGAAGTCATGACTTGAAATAGTAATTTAATATTCAACTAATTATTTTGTGATAATTTAACTTTTTATCTTGTATAAAAAAAAACCACCAATTCATACATGTGCAATACCCGTGCAATGCACGGGCACCATACTAGTTTAGATTTAAAAATATAGTTTTCTTTGATATTGATTTTACGCGTCAGGAGATAACTTCCATATTCATCCACTTTCTCCCTAGAAGTCAAGAATTCTGATGCCCCCCTTCTACTTAAGTATGTTATTCCATATATCAATTCAGTTAATTGGTTAGAAAATAGACTTGGTGAGAAAATAGACCAAAAGAGATTTTGTTTGTTGAAATTGTTTGTTACCAACTAATCCAGAAATATAATAAACAGGAAATTTTCATTCTATTCTAATCTTAAGTGAATTTAGGAAAAAAAATCATACCAAAATATGAAAAAAGATTTTTAATAGAAAATTTGATACACAATGATTTTTCCACTATAACTTTATACATTTAAATTTACAAAACAGTAAAATATTCTTCTTTGAATTGTTACGGATGAATATTTTTCCACTATAACCAAATACATAATGATATCCTATCTCAATAATTACGGATGAATTGTTTTTTAGATGAATTATTTATATTTGAATTTGAAATGAAATCTTTTTCCAACTTTGAATTTTTTTTCAATAAATCAGCACTGATTTCTTTTCATATTTGGTTATATCTCTGTATTAATTTTAGAAAGAGAAACATAAATATATTAGCCTTTTTATTTTAACTTATTTGCAATAATATTTTTAAAATAATTTATAATATGCAAGAAAAATCATGAAAATTAGATATCGAATAAGGTACGATTAAAAAGATAAAAAAAAATCATAATCGTCCGTAAAATCATGAAAATTAGATATCAAATCGGGTATAATAAAAAAATTGCACAAAAAATTATATATAATTTTAGTTTCGAACGTTTAAAGGGCTACCCTTTAATTCCCTGTTTCTGATATACCAGTCAAGCACCAAGAAGAAGCAGATAATAATGGAGAACAAGACACCATGCCTTCCCCAAGAAATTATCAGAAATATTCCTGTTCGACTTTCCGTGAAATCCCTAATCCGATTTCAATGTGTGCAAAGATTGGAAGAATCTATTCAAAACCCCATCTTTCATTGCGGAACACCTCCACCATTCTACTCAGCAAAACCCTTTATTGCCATGTCACTGAATGTATTAATGATACTTGGCATTTAAGTTGACTGAATCGAGAGATGCAAGTTCTTGAGTTTCGAAACCCACCTATCGTTGATCCCTTCGTGACATTATGGAGGACTGTCCATTCCGGTAATGGCTTGCTTTGTCTCGATCTCAACTGCTGAACTTGATTCCTTTTGGTTGTAGAATCCAGCTACTAGAGAGGTCCGACAAGTGCCTTACTCTATTAATGATGATTATGAGAGTCATTATTCTTCGGTAGGATTTGGGTTCAGCCCAGTTGTTAATGATTACAAGATTTGTGAAACTTTTTATACTCGACGGTTTGGTCGTTGAAGTGGAAGTATATGCATTAAGGACTGGGTTTTGGAGGAAAGTTAATCTTGGCAATATAGAGGGCATAAGTCTTAGGAGTGACCACGGTTTCACTTGTAATGGATCAATCTTTTGGGATGGGATAAAGGAAGACGATAAAATTCATGTGATAGTTTCATTTGATATCGCAATTGGAGTCTTCACATTGATATCATTTCCCACCGAGTCTCTTGCCTTTGAATTATCTCCCTTTAGGCTTACGATGTATGATAAAC